GATATGACATAAATTGCTCTCTATCCAGAGTGATATTGTCATATATGTTACCTTTAAGACGATAATTTTCACATGTGTACATTCTTTGGGTAGATATACTGTAGGTAACATATATAAAATGGCCATAGTAAAATGTACTTTAAATTGTACATATGTTAATAAAATCTTTGCTTTTTTATATGGTATTATATATAGCAACCATATATGTCAACAATATATAATTAATTTATATATGCAACTTTACTAAAATATGGTCATGTTTTGTAATAGATTTTAAATACATGTCAATCTGTTTATCTTTACTTAATATCAACATCTGGGTTTTAGGATAGATTTACATGTGCATGACATATTGTCACGATGCACACACACGAGGAACGAGGAGACGCTGGAGAATACTTTACCAAGACTTTATTTACAGGAGCCAAGGGAGACGAACTCAGGAAGACGTTTAACAGCGGACAGAGAACTTGGGACTGGGAACACTATTTGTACACACAGGAGGAGGGGATGACGAGACACACCTGGGAGCAATGAAACATCAAGTAATCAGGGGAGGAACAGGAAACCAAATAAGGGCATGGGAAGGCACATGGGGAGCAGGACACACACAAAACATGGAACAGAGTCTGACACATATATGTCTGAGAATGTATTATACATACATAAATGTACATATTTATATGGGTTATGTGTTATGAAATTGTTTCAATTTCTAATAGGTTTCATATATGTTTTTACTTAATATGACATATATTGCACAGAGAATTAAAATTAATTAGAAAATGATTTGAAAGAAATGTATATAGCTATTTTTTTAACTAGAAAGCAAAGTTTGTCAAGGCAAACTTTGAATATTGGCTTGAACAAAATAAAGTTATAGGCATTACAGACAGAGAAAATGATAGATTGGGGTTTGTGGTCTGTAATATTTTTTTATGTTTTTAAAAGAAGTCTTTTATGCTCACCAGGGCAGCATTTACTACATCAAAAGCACGTTATATTGTGAAATAATAATTAATGTGTAATAACAATTAAAAATAACCTTTTTATATAAAAAAAAAACACAGTTCATAAAACTGTAACTTGTTCTAATAACTTTTAGTGTGTGGTATGTAACAGCCACTATTCACATCCATTCGATTCCCATTAATTTGTTTCCACAACATGTTTATTCGTGGCCATGATTTATTAATTTTGTTCCCCTTGTTTTAGTAAACTGTAGCCACGTATTCGTTCCCTAATTTTATTTAACTAAAACAAGGAACAAATTAGTAAATCATGGCCATAAATTAACAAATCATATGAATGTGTTCTTAATTTGTGGTCACAGTTTAAAAAAAATTATAAAAATAAAAAATCTTACTGACCCCAAATTTTTGAACATTAGTATATGCAGTTGTGAGATGTTGAAACTCAACTCACAATCATGAATTTAAAGTGAGCCAGTTGTTCAATTATGAAATTTGCCCAACCATGGTATTAAAAAAGCCAAGAACCCAACATAAATATCTGTTTTCATTTTTTGGTCAGATTGGTCCCCGTTTTGGAAATCAACTGAGCATCTGATAACTCTTAAATGTTGATGTATAATCGACAGTCAAGTCATGTTTGTGATGCCTTTATTGACTATGATTGATCTTATTAAAGGTCAGCTGCGCATTAATCTAAAAATGAAAGAATAGTTTATATACTACATAAAATTCATGTTCAACTTTCTCGCTCGTATAAGGCCTGTTGAAAGGTTCTGCTTATCAGTTCATTGGTATTACACTCTTAAAAATAAAGGTGCTTCAAAAGGTTCTTCAAGAGATGCCATAGAAGAACCATTTTTGGTTCCACAAAGAACCATTCAGTCAAAGGTTCTTTAAAGAACCATCTCTTTCTTACCTTACTATAATCTGAAGAACCTTCTTTCGCCCCAAAGAACCTTTTGTGAAACAGAAAGGTTCTTCAGATGTTAAAGGTTCTTTATGGAACCATTTAGACAAAAAGGTTCTCCTATGGCATCGTGAAGCACCTTTATTTTTAAGAGTGTAGTTGGCAAGTGTTCAGACGGCTGTCTCAAGGAGAGAGTCTGGCTCCAAGCGTAAAGATGTCCCTTCCAACCACAAAGGAGAGAGTCAGATTGCATTAAGTTTGGTTAGAGGGTTTTGGCCACACATACCAGAGCCTGGGGCCACGTCCTAGCGTTTGATAACACTGCAGTAGTAATGGAAAAATCAGTCACAGCCTTTCATGGGAGCATTCGGAGGTTGATTCAATATCCCTAAGCTGAAAATTGTTTCTTTCTGAACTCCAGAAGACACGCAGGTTGTTTTTCTCACATTTTCCCTGACCAGAGCACCAAAACCACAACCTCAAACCTGGACAGGACAGCATGAGAAGTTCATCCCTGCTGGGATCTTGCCCTATTTGGGGCTGAGCTGTCAGGATAAAAACTGCACGCCATAACACTGCCGTCCCACTCAGAGACAATTACCCCCCACGCCAACATTCCTCATCCAATCCAACAATGCTTACGAAGCTCTGCACTGAGGACTCTGGACCACCGCCACAGAACAAGATGCTTTGTGTGTTTGCTTCACATATCTCCCAAGGAGAGATGAAGGAGGAAAAGCGTACCAGCCCGGCAGTGGCCATGGTTGGATTCATACAGGTAATCCTTTCTCTATGTGGTTAAGGATTCTGCTGATCCACGGTGAAGTACATGACATCCCCTGAGCTTTACTTTGCTTTGAAGAGATGGCAGATTGGTTTTTATAGATAATTGTCCATCTGGAGAAAGAGTGGTTTGTTATGAGCTGAGAGGTTGAACATAATTACTAAAATTAAACTAAAATGAAAATGCAAACTACAAAATTACAATCTAATTCAAAATATTAATAAAAACGAATAGTATCTCAGTTATATTAAAATAACACTGAAATATCTTAACACCTTTTTATGTAAAAAATGTGATTATGTGTTACCGGCATGAACACTAGCAGTGTTCTGGTAGCCTATATGAATCTCTGTTGAATTATCATTTAAATAAAAATATTGAGGATTTAGGATCTTGTGCAGGGATCGAGGCCCACAAGGGGCCCTCAGCGACTTTCAAGTTGTATGAAAGACGGTTTAAAACTATTTAAAGTAAGTTATATTTAGTATTTTAATATATAAATATTAAAAAAACGATCAATTAAATCTGTTATAAAAAAAACTGAGGGCTTTTTGAGTAAAAAAGCTTAATAACAACTGACAGATATGATTTAACCGCTGCCTTCATTCTTCTTGACATCAGCCTGCTGTGGTCAACATGCCCTGCCTTGGAGATACGTCAACTCGCTTAACAATCACATACGCACTCACATAGTTAATGCTCCACAAGGTCAAGCGGTGGTTGATCGAAAACTGCAAAACCACAAACAAATCATGGGACTTGAGGAAAAATTCTTAATTACTACACATTTGGTAAATGATAGCACACGTTTTCATATTTCTTTAATCAAATGTGTCTTCAAGTAAGATCAAATAATCCAGTTCTTGCATTATATTGGAAGTTTTATGAGAGTAATGATACATTTAAATCGAAAAGACAAGAACTAAAGGGTTTGGGGTGAAAATGGGAGCATTCTTTTGTTTGTTAGTTTGTTTTTAACAAAACCATATATCTTGAGGATAAAGATACCAGGGTTATTATAGTTAATTGAAATGAAAACAGTATGAAATGAAATAAAATAAATATATATATAAAAAAATGTTGGCTAGTTGCCAAGGCAACATTTTTCATTTTTGTTTAGTTTGATAAAATAACTAAATAACTACTTAATTTGACTAAAATAAAACTATTGGAAAAAAAATTACTAAAATTAAACTAAAATGAAAATGCAAACTACAAAATTACAATCTAATTCAAAATATTAATAAAAACGAATAGTATCTCAGTTATATTAAAATAACACTGAAATATCTTAACACCTTTTTATGTAAAAAATGTGATTATGTGTTACCGGCATGAACACTAGCAGTGTTCTGGTAGCCTATATGAATCTCTGTTGAATTATCATTTAAATAAAAATATTGAGGATTTAGGATCTTGTGCAGGGATCGAGGCCCACAAGGGGCCCTCAGCGACTTTCAAGTTGTATGAAAGACGGTTTAAAACTATTTAAAGTAAGTTATATTTAGTATTTTAATATATAAATATTAAAAAAACGATCAATTAAATCTGTTATAAAAAAAACTGAGGGCTTTTTGAGTAAAAAAGCTTAATAACAACTGACAGATATGATTTAACCGCTGCCTTCATTCTTCTTGACATGTTTATATGTGTCAGATATGTGAAAACACGCTGGTTAAAAAGCGTACGTTGACAGATTACGTTGGTTTGGGCACATTTTTGTGTAATAAGCTTCATGCTTCTGTGCAGCAAGTGAAGATGCACCTTTTGTTTCCTTGGGGATCATTTCATTTAAATTGTGCTGCCACCTAGTGTACATTCATGCCGTTTACGCCAAGGAGCTCTACAGTAAATAACAAGCGTTTCCACCATCGTAAGTGTTATTTCAACCTTCATTCCGCTGTCTTCTGCGTCTATGTATTGTTCGTTTATAGTCAATGAATTAACAGGAAATAATAATAATAATAATAATAAATCATCGGTATGTGGTACCTGAGAGCAGAGTTTATTTCTTTTATTTTAAAAAACATAATTTAACATACTAAACAATATATATTCGGGAATAATATATTATAATATAATCATATATAATATATAGTTTCTCCAATAGAAGCAAATTCCAGATCCATAATATTTGTGAGTGTGTAGCAGAGACATATCTGAGACCAGAGAGTGTTGGGAACAGAGCTGTTTGGGAGGTCTGCGCTCTATGCGGCACTACGAAATGCAGCGAAGCGATTGGTCCGCTCGGTGGTTGCTATGACAACATATAGACTACAGTTCTCTAGTCTCACGCTGCTGGTGTCCAGCGGTTAACAGGCGGTTCGTTTCTGATATGTCTAAGAATAAGGTAAGAGGGTGACTTTTAAAACAAACTTATTACATGATATTATGTTTCCGGTTTGCTGTAACAAACTCACCTTAAACTGCAGACAGCTGGACCTAAAGGGGCCTACAGTTCACAGAAGAAGAAGGAAGGGTAAGTCTGTTAGCGTTTGTTTAATACATTCATCCTGCAATTTGGGGCCTGTAGAATTTTATTTTATCTATTAAAGTCATTATCACTATTATTCAGCTATGATGCAGCAAACTGATGACAAAAATGACAGTATAGACGATTATAATGTTACAAAAAAATCTTTTTTTATTTCCAATAAATTGTCCCACGGTTTCTAGAAATGGTGTAATGACAAGTTTCTTGAGCAGCAACTCAAATCAGCACATTAGAATGATTTCTGAAGGATCATGTGACACTGAAGACTGGTGGAATAATGCTGACAATTCAGCTTTCAGAAATAAATATTTTACAATAAAACAGGAAACAGATATTTTAAAATGTTTTCCTGTATTTTGATTAAATAAGTGCCGACTTTGTAAGCATAAGATATCTTTTTCAAATTCATTAAAAAATCTTACAGACCCCAAACTTGAATGGTGTAGTAACTGCATTTTTTAAATCATTTTACAGTTTCTCTAAAGTTTAAAGTTTAAACTGTTGTCTGTATGTATGTATGTATGTCTGTATAAAGGATAAAAGGTAGTTTAACAATCCAGTGTGGTTCATTTTCATCTCAGCGAGGGAAGGAGCTGTATACGGTACAGATGTGGCCTGACCAACACTATACAGGATGTCCTAAACCAGAGACCAGGCTGGGTAGAGGTGAAAGAGTAAGTGCTGTGCTTCTCCATTGTGTGTCCCTGTGTTTCATGCTTGCATCATGCATTCATGTCTCTCTATGCAGTGATAGCGATTGGGACTTTAACTGGTGTGATGTTGGGTGGCTAAGAGAGAACTTTGATCACTCGTACATGGAGGAACATGTGCGGATATGTCACTTCCGCAACCACTACGAGGTCTGTATTATACAATTTATATGCAGATTATTATAGATTACGACTGAATGAATGTGTACAGAAAACAGGCATGAATTGTTTGTATTTTTCAGCTGACCCGTAAGAACCTGATGGTAAAAAACCTGAAGAGATATAGAAAAACTTTAGAGCGGGAGGCTGGGCGTTTAGAGGCGTCCAAATGCGACTTTTTCCCCTGTACGTTTGTGCTGCCCAGTGAGTATCACATCTTTGTAGAAGAGTTTAAGAGAAGCCCCGGGAGCACCTGGATCATGAAGCCTGTGAGTGTTTATAGCAGTGCACTGTGTACAATACTGCCAAACTGATCATCAACAGGTCATCCATTATTACAAAACTTTCCGAACACAGGTGGCACGATCACAGGGGAAAGGAATTTTTCTGTTTCGAAAACTCAAAGATATCATAGATTGGAAGAAGGTAATACACATTTGACACACTGACTCTGACAGGAATGTAAGTTCTGTGATTATTTACTATCGTCATCCCAAGTTTTATGTTGTGCACTGATGCTGTTTTTGGTTTTAGGATGGGTCCCGCTCTGAAGAACAGAAAGATGAGGCTCAAGTTGAGAGCTATGTCGCTCAGCGCTACATTGAGAATCCCTACCTCATAGCTGGTATGTACCCATAATATATAATACATATAATAAAACATATAATAGCTTCAATACTTATTTGATTTAGCTAATCTTTTATTATTATTACTGAACGTATGTTTTATATATGTGTGTGTGTGACATGTATGTTATATCTATCACCAGGGAGAAAATTTGACTTGAGAGTCTATGTTCTTGTCACATCAGTAAGTGATCTATTTTTTAATGATTTTTTTTTTCATGAATATCCGATGCTGTTTTTCGTTGTTAAAGTACTTTCTCCAGCTGCAGTAGGAAACTTGAAAAAAGCCATTCATTTTGCAATTTCACAGAAATTATGGTGCATTTACACCATGTCAGAATTAGTGCAATTATGAGATTTCAATCGAGTTACAACATTAATAAACTATGAATTTACTCTTTGCTCTGACTTGTACCACCTGATTGTTCAACATCATTAATAAACACTCAAAATGAAAATGGCATCAGCAGTATAAAGCAGTTATTTTGTAATATTTCTGTTGAATAATTCCTATAGTCGACTATTTTGTTAATGTTATAATAGCACAAGAAAATAAATGCAAGTCATATAGTAGTTTAATGTGGCTCACACAGAACTGAATAGCTATCTTATGTCCCTTTAAATAAACTTAAGTTTATTAATAATGCATTTTCATAACAACTGTTACTTGTTGTATTGTTGTTTTGTCTATTGATTACTGAAATTAGAGATTTATTTTTCCATTAACGGTGGTGTTACACAGTATTACACACAGCATTTTTGTTGTTGTGGGTGTTTCACACTTCACATCACTGTTGCATTTTCATGTTTTGAATGTTGTAAAACTGTGCAGGCAACACAAAAAGCATATTTTTGTTTTTCGCAGTATATTCCATTGAAGGCCTGGCTGTATCGTGATGGTTTTGCTCGATTTTCCAACACCAGGTTCTCTCTTAGCAGCATAGACGATCAGTGTATCCTTTGCATACATTTCTGAAATACACACACCCCCAATTTTATATTACGCCCCATAGTACAGGAATTCACTTGTTTGTCCCCTTTAACCTTGAAATACACAGACGTTCATCTCACTAATGTTGCAGTGCAAAAAACATCTCCTGATTATGATCCTGAGAAGGTATGTTGGAAGTAACTGGACATACTGTACTATTATGTTCATGAAGATATGTTTTATTAAAAAGCAGTAATCTATCTTTCGCTCTCTCTCAGGGTTGTAAGTGGCAGATGCAGCAGCTACGGCAGTACCTGACCGCTAAGCATGGTTTCGAGACAGTGCAGACTCTATTTAAAGAAATTGACAACATATTTATTCGCAGCCTGCTTAGTGTTCAGAAGACCATCATCAATGACAAACACTGTTTTGAGTTGTATGGATATGACATACTACTGGACCAGGATTTAAAGCCGTAAGAGTGCTTTATTTTTGATTGCTTAGTTTGACAGGATACTTAGCAGAACTGAATGAATGTGGGGATTGCATGGCTTAAAAAAAATGACAGCACAGTTTGCCGTTATGCAGGTGGCTAATTGAAGTGAACGCTTCACCCTCCCTCACAGCCAGCAGTCAGGAGGACTATGAGCTAAAATACAGACTGCTGGAGGACACCTTGCACATTGTAGACATGGAAGGCCGGTACAGTTTGACAAAATAGTATAAAATTACATGAAAGAAGAGTGTGGAGGATTGTGTATGTTGACATTGTTGTCCAAAACATGCTTTTCCACTTAGTCTGACAGGCAAGGAGAAGAGGGTTGGCGGATTTGACCTAATGTGGAACGATGGACCTGTCTACACGGATGTCGGACTAGAGACTCTGGGTAGTTCTTGCCTCGTGGCAAATACACATCTCGGTCAGTGTCTTACATTGTCTCAATGGAGATCTTGGCCTGTAGTACACTCAGTGAGCCTGTTTCTGTGCTTAGTTGAGCTTAGTAGTTTTTGTACACTCTTAGGCATTTTTTGAATGTCACACAGTTAAACAAAAAATATATTAATTCACAGTGCATGCATGATACTTTTAAAAAATAAGGTACCAAATAGGGCTTTAAAACGTCTAGAAATTTCTGTCATCAAAACTTCCAAAAACTGTATGATCATAACATATTTGGAGCAATTTAGCATTGCATCACTTGCTCAGCAATGGATGCTCTGCAGTGAATGGTTGCCGTCAGAATGAGAGTCCAAACAGCTGATAAAAACATCACAATAATCCACAAGTAATCCACACGACTCCAGTCCATCAATTAACTTTTTGTGAAGTGAAAAGCTGCTTGTTTGTAATAAACAAATTCATCAATAAGACATTTTAATATTAAACCGTCACTTCCTGATTCAGAGCAGTATTATGGATAGAGGACTTGTATTTACAAGTTTAATACCCCTTCATGATGCATTTGTTTCTTACAAAGATGCAGCTTTTCACTTTACAAAATGCTAATTGATGGACTGGATTCATGTTGTGAATTACTGTGATGTTTGTATCAGCTGTTTAGACTCTCATTCTGACGGCACCCATTCACTGCAGAGGATCCATTGGTGAGCAAGTGATGTAATGCTAAAATACTCCAAATCTGTTCAGATGATGAAACAAATCTACATTTTGGATAGCCTGAGAGTCAATTTTAAGCAAATTTGTATTTTAGGTGAACTATTCCTTGAAGTAAATATACAAATTAAAATGTATAAAAGATAAACAAAATGTATTTTTTAATAATAATGCAACACCTATAACATTACATATTATAGCAGCATTTACTATCATCTCCAAATACAAATGGTTTTTGTTTGCTTTGTATTACACAGGCTGCGTGAATGATCGCCAGAAACAGCTTCAACAGCTTTTAAAGCCTTTCCCAGGACAGAAGAGGACATGACAACATGCAAATGACATCAAATTAGTGTGACAAACTATTCATGACAATCACACAAATACCCACAATTGTTATAATATGCACCTAAGGATTCAGACGATTGTAAATAGGAGCATTTAAATACCCAGAAGGCATGGCAAAGTCACTGAAAATTTTCATTCACAACCTGAAAATGACACTGTCTGTGCTTGTTCTGGTTTAATGAGAATAAAATGACGGTATCAATTTCCACATTAAAATAAATACTGTAGACAGAGGCTTTGATGATGTAATGAAAACTCTTTATTTTGTATCTCATAAAAATAGCTGCATTCAACTCTACCAAAAACTCCCAGCAAAATAAAAGCACAATCTGACAATGATAGGACAAAAGTAGATTGTTGTGTGTTTTTGCCTGATAAGGGAACTTGACACAGTACATAACATACAAGATGAAATGGTGCTACATACAGTACATCAAGTATGGAAATGTGGTACCATGTACTGTATGGCCTCAACCTGTACCAACTTTCAAGTCATATTCAAGTGCCTTGACAATGCATTACAGTACATATAAAACCACTACCATCATTGTTCCTGTAAAAATAAACAAAACATGCTATATTTAGAGACATGAAGTACAATGTAATCACCTGAAAGGTTCTCAATAAGTAAACAAACATAGATAACCTTGACCATAATATCTTAACAGATTACAGCTCAGGTCCTTCTCCAGCAACACACCACAAAACCACCATAAGCAATCCTAACAATTCACAATTCAACTACATCTAACTCACTGAAAACCTAAGTAATGAGTTCCAAAACATTCAAAGATAAAACATTCTTATTTAACTTAATACATGTCAACTCATTGGTTTAATAAATAACAAGAAAAGAAGTCCTTGTAAATAGCACTTTACAAAAATATAGTCATTACAAAACATTCATTATTCATCTCAAAAAATATACATTCTTTGACCAATAGTGCTTACTAGACAAAGCCAGACGCTGCCATTCTCAGCCATACCTCCCTCAAATAAGAGATATGTGCACACTTGATTTAAGTACATTTATTTCATTTCATAGAGGATTTGTGCGTACAGTATGTAAAGATAACCTGCTTTTGTGTACTTAGGCAGATAAAATAAATATATCTTATTCAAGAAATGCACTTTAAAGTTCTAATGAAACAATGACGATGAAAAGGCATGATTTCTAAAGAGAAGGATAAGTTTTTTTTGACAGTGTGGTCACATTTGCAGTTGTCCGGCAAATTTTCATAGGCAAAATCCAAGCATTTTAATCAGAATCCATGCGATCCTGTGCACATTTCAAGTTGGTCTGTGTTGACCGACAAAAAGCTGAAAGTGACTTCTGTGTGAGTTATTAACAATAAACAATTAACCTCTTTTTTCCCCTCGAAATTTTGCCAAAATATTGCCAATGTGACGGCACTTGTATCCTTTTCACAAACAACTACAGTTAACTGCAGGGATAATATTACGTTTTAATTAGCTCTTCTTTACAGTATGCAAAATGGAAATGTTTTTGAGGCAACTGAAAATTGCGTGAAAGGTGCACTAACTACTTGGCATATTGAGCATTTTTCACTTTGCCAGTAGTCTTGGTAGCTGATGTCACTTTTGCATCGCAGCCATCGGTGACCGTTCTTTTAGTGCCAGATCTTAATCGTACTTCACCAGTTTCGGCTCTCGGACCATCCTTAACCATTTTTTTCCCTGGACCACCACCTTCGCCTTTCATACCGACAGGATCCCGCCTATCAACCCCTCCACATTTTGCTCCAGGTGGATCTTTCTGTTTGTCTGCCTCGTTTGACCTCGCAGTCTTTCCTTTCCTGACCGAAGAATGGGATTTGCCATTTGCGTTAAGTTCATGGGACGCCCTGCGCACGTTTCCCGCAGACTGCATGTGCTTCTGGTGAGCCTTTGCTGCCTGAGGACTGACCGGTTGCTGGTTTTTCGAAGTGGTGCGGTTTTCGGAGGTGGAAGCCCGGCTTTCGCTGCTGCTCCTCTTTTGGGTGTTGGCAGGGGGAGCTTTGCGCTCTAGCAGGGGGCTGAGACGGGAATGCCGCTGGTAGGCGTATGAAGAGCAGGTGCCGCTGCAGAGCGGATAGCGGATGTGGCAGTAAGGGCAGACGGGACGAGAAAGCTGGGTGGATGATGGGCTGGCCATTGAAGAGAAGAAGGCCCGTTGACCCTGCCGAAAGCTTTTCGGGGAGCTGAGGCGTGTCGGAGGAGCAGTATGAGGCCTAGGCCGATTGCCATTCGCTAGGACACTGGCGGCGTGACTTCTTGTTCGGATGATGGGAACGACGTGCCGTCCGCTCTCAGCCTGTATGCTTTGGATCTGGTGCCACTCAAGTTGAAGGAGGCGCTCTAAATACTTCTCTAGCTGCCCTACGGGTTTGGGCCGGGGAGCCCGCTTACCCTCAGTGTTGAGGAAGATGGCGAGCTGCTTCAGACTCCAGGTATTGAATGGAGGAGGCAGGAAGTCTGGGTAGCTATAGCTGACTTCATTGTTCTCCACCGTCCTGGGTCCAGGTATGTGAGGATGCAGGTCCATGGAGTTGATGACCTCGGCTCGGAGGTTGAGCTGAGGAGGAGTGCAGGGGGAAGGCAGCACAGGGAGCCGCTCAGAGTCGGACAGGTCACTGGCGCTGTCCGTGTCATCCTCCTTGTGCTCCAGGAGGCGAAGTGAGTCCAGGTCTGGGACTTGTTTCTGCGGAATGAACTGCTGCAGCACTGGCTGAGGAGTCAAAGGCAGCGATAGAGCACGACGGCTCTTCTCCAAGGCCATGTGGCTCAGTACCATCTCTTTACAGCACTGAGGCTCCAGCTGGATTTTCTGCCTCTCCTGTCCACGCTCGGGACAAGAGAGTTTGGGACGTGGAGGCCTCAGGTCTGATTCGCCCTGTGTGCTGCAGCAATAGTTCAAGTGAGATATTTTATCAATATACTCTATTTATTAGGGCTGGGTTGACAACACTTGTGATTACTTTGACTTTCATGGACTCATATCATTCTTAAATTCCAAGATCAATTCTGCTGAGGCATGAACAAACATCACTAATGTTTTTTTGTAGCATGTCTCCCATCTAATAATCGTAATAACTACAATTTGATCACAGAGTTTAAAGAGTAAAATGACAATATTTTAGCAATCATGCTATGTGTTTTCTATCAGGCATTAAGAATCAAATGATGCCACATTCACAAATTAAACACTTGTTTCTGATCTAATTAGTGAAATGGGTTTCCAAAAAGGTCTGGAATTGTTTGTGATGCAGTTTGGTTCATTTGGACAGTTCACGTACACACTGAATTGTTTCCAGTGGTTTCTCACATTGAAACAGTAACAGATTACTTTATAAGACAGAAGAGAGTGCTGGATAAGACAAAAAGAGTGCTGGATGAGGTGGATATTTACCTACAATCCATTTAAGGAAACAAAACTCAGAAATGTCATATTGTTTGTCAGTGATGATGATGAAGCAGATCTTTATTATGAGTGCAGCCTGTAAATGGATCTACTGCAGGTAAAGACAATTGAATTTCTAACCAGATATTCACTACAGTATAAAAAAAGGAGTATTTTTTAATGGTAATGGTGAAAGAAAAGCTAGCAGAATGAGCATAAGATATGTTGTAGATCAGGGGTGCCCAACCCTGCTCCTGGCGATCGACTGTCCTGCAAAGTTTAGCTCCAACTCTAATCAAAGACACCTGCCTTTAATTTTTAAGTGATCCTGAAGACCCTAATTAGTTGCTTCAGGTGTGTTTGATTAGGGTTGGAGCTGAACTTTGCAGGACAGTCGATCGCCAGGAGCAGGGTTGGGCACCCCTGTTGTAGATAATAGGGTGGAGCATATATAGTGCATTATATTACATATTCATTACATTTTTATCTATTAGTGATGTCTTAATGCATGTTTGAATAAATCTGTCGTGTTAGGACAGTCACCATTTAAATTTCATCAATGAAGGAGTAGAAGCATAATTTTATCACTAGGAAGTTATTAAAAAATAAAAACTCCTGATATATAACAAAATGAATCAATATCAAATTGAATCAAATCAAGAGCTTGTGAATTGGAATTGTAAAATCTGTGTCAATACCCAGCTCTAATTTGTATCACTTTGTTTCTGATTGGTCAATGGCAGCATTCTGTAGTGAAATATATCCATTTGTTTTATTTAATTTTGTTTTTTGTTTTTTTTTTACTATTTATGGTTATTTATATATTAAATTCCATATGTTAAGCAACGCTCACCCACGCAACTTGCACGTGCCACCAGTCGGACTCTTAGCTTTCTTTGGTTTAATGCCATTTTGGACCTTGGAAAGATCATGAAAACATATTCAAACTGCTGCCAACACAGGATCAATGCATCTTATTGTTGCATATGTAACTTACAATTTCAGCTTTGGGCAGAGGATCCTTCTCTTGCCCTGGATGCAAGGGCACTGTTTTTTTAAGAGGTTTCTTATTCTGGATCACGTTTCCTCCTCTCTTATTATTGCTGCAAATAAAGCACATATTCTTAGTGACACATTTTTGTTATTCTTGTGTGATTTTAATAAACTGCTCTATCCAGACATACCTGGCAACAATCCCAGTGTTTTCTGCATTTTTCATTCTAACCTTCTCCTTGCCTGGCACCTTCTTCAGTGTCGCAGACGCAGTTTGTTCCTGCAGGATGGGTCCCATCGCATTAAGCACTATGAAGTGTACAGACGCAGTTTTGAAGCTCTCAGCTGTGCCCCAAAATGTCCCATTTGTGAGCGCATGCACGCACCGAGCGACTGAAGAGCACCATTGCAGAAACGCAGCGAAATATCAGCGTCACAGTTTATATATGTTCCAGTTTGCCAAGAATTGGAGCAGTCCATTAAACAGCGTCGAACAAACTATTTCTTAACGCTAACATTTAAAGAGGGCAATAATCACCTTTGCGTCTTGGTTATGAAGCCCCCATCATCCAGCAATGTGCGAAACGTTACTGAGCATCACTACAGCAGCTCGATCAGACTTGTTTACCTGCTGCTTTGTATGCTCGAGCATCGTCGTCGTCGTGATCCTCCGATTGGCATGATGGGAATTGAAGTTCCTAAGTGAAACGAATACGAGAAACGCGTTAATTTCACCGCTGCTCGTATCGAGTGCTCATGTAGCTATGTGTATGTATCAGGGCTCAGGGGGCTGATATTGGGGTTGTGTAAATTCGCAAAATCACTGTTTTATTCAAATTTAAAAGCGGGGTTGCCAGATAGAAGAAGTGCAAGGATCCTGTTCTGATTATACCCGGAAAAAAATCATTTGTGATCCCTGTTTGTGTCTGACTAAAATATTAAAACCATAGCTTAAGCTACGAAAAAATATTCTATTTAGATTAAAATTGTTCAGATTTTTAAATGTTTTGAAAGCAGTCTCTTATGCTCAGACTAAGCTGCAATTAGTAATATTGCGAAATATTATTAGAATTTAAATAACTGTTTTCTATTTTAGTATATTTAAACATGCAATTTATTCCTGTGATGGTAAAATTTAGCATTATTCCAGTCTTTAGTGTCAGCCGGTTCTTCATAAATCATTCTAATATTTATAATGGTCTTTTAAATTATAATAATATTTCACAATATTACTGTTTTACATGTATTTTTAATCAAATAAATGCAGACTTGCTGAGCATAAGAGACTTTTTTCAAAAAAATAGTTATTCCAAACTTTGACTGGTAGTGTATATAAAACAAGTAGGCCTACCCTATAATATATTTTTATTTATTAGATTCTCTAATGCCGCTTTGGAGTGGTAGTGTACGATACATTAATTAGATATTACATATAATTTGGAAGTAAACCCCATTTTATTAGTGCAGAGAGGAGTATGTGTATTTTGTAAAACATTTGCAACTGCTTTTTATCACATAATTAGAAGCACCACAGCTCAATTGTGTCATCAGTTATATAAGGACTACTGAACAGACAAGTTCATTTAAAATGTAAAGTATTGAAAATGTGTAAATAAAGCTTTACTTGCATTTATACAACGCTATGTTGTAAACGTGTTCCATCAGGTAACCAAAAGATGTACACTCACACACTTGCTGTCTTACAATGCCCACTTACAGCTACTTATAATAGGAGGACATGGCAACCTCACCACCAACAGCATTTCCCGAGCACAGCTGACTCAGTAGCCACGCCCCCTCTGTTTGACATCACACTCCTGCCAGCTCTGCGCAGTTTGCTTGAAATGCATCGTATGTGTGTTGTATCACGTAGTATACTTCACCTTTG